TAAAGTGTTTTTGCTTAGTATTGAAGAAATGGTATAAATTTAGTTTTAGTATTCTTCATGGAATTCATTAGCAAAAAAAAAAAATAAATAAATAAAAAAAAAATCGCACTGTGATTTATTTCCTTTTATTTGTAATTAGTTATTAATTAGCTATTTTGTACCAATTTCATAAAGAATTACATATTGTCATTCACAAGTCATTTTCTTCAGGAGGCAGTTTAAAACTTGGTCAAACAGCATGGTAGACTGGCTTTAGTGACCTATGTAGCTCTTTACAGGTGGCTCACAGACTTTATCAGTATTGTTACTAGCATTTAAAATAATTACCTAGTTTTACATTGCAAAAATTTTAATGTACACATGTTTTAAAAGATGGTTATAAAACATCCTAAAAAGATTTCACGAAAAGCTATAAATTCTATTTTGTTTTAATGTACACTATCTTCTTAATCTTGTAAGATAGAAAACGGCAAATAGGCCAGTTTTTAATCTGCTTCACTTCATATAGACATCAAAACGTTTTAATTGCTACTTTTTGCTAGTGACATGCATGTCAAAAGTTATAAATGTTTCACTTCAAACAGAACTGGGTAGACATCCACTGGAGACTTAAGGGTTGTAAAACTCCCTTTGAAATCTGCAAGAAAGGTAGTTTTAAAGGGTAGTTTCAAACATGTAATTAATCATCCAGTTAATTTAGACTGTCGTTCAAAAAATTTATATTTTCTCATCTAAAGTATATGCCGGTATACCTGTCCTATCTAAGAGGAAAATTAGTTGTTTGAACTGAAATGATTGTTTTTTGGTCAGGCAACTACATGTAGGATAATCATGCTAGGTCACCCGCTCACATTATTACTGGTGGCCTTAACATGCTGGAACTGAAAATGATTTTAGACTTTGCCACCAGTATATATTGTTCTGATACTAAGACAAATCCATTTGATACACAAATTCAGGTTGAAGGGTCTACCGTCTACCTTGAATCTGCTGCATTTGACTTGATTTTGGAACAGGCCATTTAAAGTTGAAGGGATTTCAATATCAAAGTACAACAATTGAGATTTCACATATTTTGCAGGCAGTCCTGAGAGGTTCTATTCTGATGGCAAAGGCTAATTTCTCTCCGTTCCAGCTGCTTAAATGTCAGTTAACCTGCTGCAATTGTCTGATTAACCTGTGTTAGGTGTACAAATATTAAATGTGAGAAACTAACTAAATCATACCACTTTTTTTGTGGGTTCCATAGAATTCTCATTATGCCTATTTTCATTGAATTTCATCAAAGTTTTGATTTAATTTTTTTGTTGTAATTTGTTTGAAATTTGTAAATGTACATGCACATAATTATATACAACAATAGTAACACTAAATGTTGGTAAGAATCCAAATGTGCATTAAATGAAGTGTAAATAAAAGAAAGTAATATATTTATGTTGTAGTTTGTGTTATACAATAAGTCGAGACCGAAATAGGTTGCAATCAATATGAGCATCTCTTTGAAAATCCAATGCACAAGTCAGTTTTAACTGCAGCCCACTCATCACAAGAAAAGGGCTTGGCACATGGATTTTTTTACCTTCTGTCTGTCCATGTACTGAAGGGTTATATTTCAAAGCCAAAATAGCAAGATATGTATAACTTACAGAATGGGGGAATTAAGTGCATATTTTACTACCTTGAGGGCCCCATATGGCCGGATTTTTACCTACTGTTTAATAACCCAACAGTCAGAAGTCCCCACTATTCCCTGCAAGATCGGGTAGCGCCAGCGTTATGATTGACTAATGCTTTAATGAATTGAATTATCTTATAACAAGTCTGAACAATGAGTTCCAACTTTATCATATCCATTGACTGTCACAGCAGTGTTTTGTTGCACTTGCAATAACTTTTCTTTTACTTTAAAGCTCCACTCTTCCAGATGAGCCAAAATATTTCAAGAAAATCAATATTGAGAAAAATGTTAGGAAAGGTAAAATTATTCAAAATCCAAGTTATATTTTACATGGTATGTGCGGTTTACGACTGATTTTGCAGTATTTTATCACCATATTTCTACTGTGTAACTAACAGGCTGTTTTTGCATAATTATGTTGACCACTTTTTGGTAATTTTCTTTAATTTTAAGTGCCGATTGCAATATGTAAATAACTTAATTTGTCCACCTCACAATATTTTATGTTAAATACATTTACAAAATTTTCGTGTAAATTAATTAACATGAATCTGGAGGCGTGCTGCTTTAATTCATGCAAAGAATTTTCAAGGGTTGTATCAAATCCAAGAACTATGATTTAATTTAAAGAAAAGTTTGAGCGGTGCATTATAATGTTTGAATTTAGATGTTGTAAAAAATAATGTAAGAAAACTAGCTGGCTATAAAAACAAAGATAAAAGTAACATTAGTTAAAGTAAACTTGAAACATTAGTTTGAAGTTGATAGCAAGATAAATTGTTTGAAATATTAAAACCATGTTTTATCTTATGTAGGTGTAACAAAATATAAAATCTGAAAAGATTTTTTTGGAAGATGTTAAGATGCTGTGTGTTTATTAACACATGTTCCATGTAAGAAAAGTACAATGTTAGGTATTGAATTTCTGCAATTAGCTATCACCTGATATGTACGCAGTCTGAATTTTCGGCAATAAAACACAGATGGCGATAATTTGAAAACTTACAAATTGCTCATAAATACAGACCATGAAATGTTAAATAATTGGTATAAAATAACATTGTCAGATTTTTTTCCTTGGCAGATTTACAATGTAGTAATATACATTTTTTCCATGAAAAACTGGGTACAGATGCATTGTTGAGCTGTTATTGGGTGCATAAATTCTGTATGCTGTTGAGGGTTGTTTTTTTGCCTTTATGGTAATCAAATAGTATGATTAAATTCATAAGCATGAAAATATAATGTATAGCATTTTTAGGTGCAAATTTAATTTATCTGAGCATTTTTGGTAAGGTGCTATTCGTACAGCTATGTATTTATGAATTCATAACTTGTAACTACTGAAATATTTGCATAACAGGCTTAATGCTTACTTTCACTTTGGAATCATGCAGTGTTGATTTTAGAAATGTACTTTTTTGTATTTAAGCAGTTGATATTTGAGCTGCGCCATGACAAAACCAACATAATTCATTTGTGACCAGCATGGATTCAGACCAGCCTGCGTATCCGCGCAGTCTGATCAGGATCCACGCTGTTCGTTATCAGTTTCTCTACATGTAATTTAGGGTTTGTAAGTGAACAGCATGGATCCTGATCAGACTGCACGAATGCGCAGGCTGGTCTGGATCCATGCTGGTCGCAAACCCATTATGTTGGTTTTATCATGGCACAGCTCATTTTATAATAAAGAATAAATTGAAGGTCTGGTCATTGGTCAGATTACGCCATTCTTTTCCTTCGTCATTGGCATACCTGGTATTTATACCATGGTGTCTGCTGCTTTACATTGTAATGGATTCTTTTTCCTACATTTTGTCATAGACATTTGGTAAAGTTAACACAAGGGGATTGCAATGGGCTAATTGGATAAAAATCTTATTTGAGACATTACAGTCAAACCTCATGTGATGATCATCACCATCTGATTAAAATACCATTATACAGAAGACCAGTCCTAAGAGGCCAAGATTTTTAATTTCTGGTTGTAAAATTATCTTTATTCCAAAAAAAAAGAGCACACAATTTGCCAATGAAAGCTAGACCACATATGGCATTGACAGGTCTCTATAGAAAAGTTTAACTAAGTTTGGATTAAATAGTTCTTTGATCGTCAGTCATTCCATTATTCTCTGAAGAAGAAAAAATTAGTTTCCCTTTAACCTTCTGGATGTAACAGCTTTTCTGGAAAGCACAAATAAAAAATGTGTGATTGTTAAGAGACTGAATGTCTGTAAGCATGTGACAAGTTGATAAAATAGATTCTGGAACTTGTAAAAAATAATCATTGTGAAGTTTCAGATAACATAATAAACTGGTACTCAGTCTTGTAAAATTCAGCTGGTTTTGGTGTGAGAATAATGAAATGTTGTAAACCCTTCTGAAATGTGTTTTAATAGTTAATGATAAAAAAGAAAACTTTTATTGTTTCTTTCACACTGTCTTTGTGTAAATTTGGTAATATTGATAGTCTTATGACTTAAAATTATGTAATTTTCCACAAGTATTATCTGTTCTCGCACGTATGTTATGATATGTGAGAGCTTTCATTAATTCTAGAATCAGTTACAGAGTAAATATAGAAATTAATCTTCTAGTAGAACTGATCAGAGAAAAGTCTATTATTTTGTAGCTGGTTTCTTTTGTCGATATGGCCAGTTATGTGTTGACGTGCCATAAAAATCCAAACAAACAAACAATTATGTAACATATTTAAAGGATTACAAACCCAAATGAATTGGTTAAGACCAAGATTGGAATGATGGCACATCAACTCTGCGTTATCATGGCTATGCACTGTTTGCTATTCTATCGGTGCATATTTTAAAACTTGCTTCAAAAAATGACAAATGGTTTTGTCCAGATTGAAAAGAATCTTAAGATGGATAAGTCTATTTAAGATAATTCTCAAGTCTTATGGTAAGGGCTAATAATAAAGAACCCTTGTAACAATGGAAAGACTATATACATGTATGAGATTCCTATGACCATATTGTAAGTTTGTAACAAACTGCTGTATGGCTCAACAGATAACATGCGTTGCCCACTTCACATAAGTGCCGCTTCTCAAAATACTTACATAATTATTCACACGCATACAATAAATCGGTACGTATACAAGGAAAGTAGTTAGGAATAATGATTGTTAATACACGTTGCAATACAAACACTTCATCTGTCAGAGAAAATGTTTGTGGCCAGATGTTTACTGAATAACGACACCTGCATTTTTAGTTTTTTTTCTGCATATTTATATGAACAGCTACTGGTTAATGCATGATAATATAGTTACCAAAATTCATATATGATAGATACAGGATATAATAATATGTGTATGCATGTTGCAGCAAGAGAGATAGATATTTGCTAAAATGCCGGAAGAATAAAGATTTATCAAGATTCAGGAACACTAATCTGATTTGAATATAAGAATACGTATTTTATATCAAAAATTTGTTCATGATGGATTTTAATCAATTTTTTTTACCAGCAGAACATATGTATAATGAAGATTAGATATTTAAATCAGTTCATGTGTGTTTTTTTATTAAATGATAAAATTTATATATGATACTTTGTGTTGGTTTGGAATATGTCAATTTTTGTCAACAAAAAATGAACTTCTATTTCAGTAGCATAGTTCATGTCTATAAAGTAAAGATTTTTGTTCGACTTGAAAAATTGTGAGACGTAAAACTAGATACATTAAATGTGACTGTTTTACCCGTCTTTTGTGCAAGGGGACGCAACCCTTCTTTATTGATTAGTACATTGTAAAGGTACCTTGCCTGGTTATCTACTTTCTGGAAGTATTTGAAGTTAATGATTGTCCACAGTCAGTTTTATCAAGGAAAAGAAACTAGATTTTAATAGTTTTTCTCACAGTGCCTTCATGTTATGACCTATTTCATTTTTATGCCACCGCAGCATCTGCGATGCTGTGGCATATAGCGATTCACCTGTGTTTGTGTGTGTGTGTGTATGTTTGTGTGTGTGTTCTATAGATTATATAGTGAACTTAACTTTTGTGGGTTCAAATCCAGTCAGGAGCAAGCCATTGTTTCTGTGAGCAAGGAACTTTACAATCATTGCTTAGTACTGGTTGGTTCCAGGAAAAGATTCAAGAATGTTTTGATAAGCTTTTAGCTTCCAACACAATCAAACTTAAATAAATTAGTATAAACTTAAAGGTATTTTTATAACTACAACAATGTTAGCAACTCTGTGTAGAATTGCGTTGTTAATATTTGTGCCGAAATACAGTGACTTCAATGTGGATAGTGGACTTGGTCTGATTTGAATTTGCTTTTGTCAGTTGTATATAAAAAGGATTTTACTATTTAACAACCAAGCAACCAATTGTATAAAGTTTTTTAAGACTATACCTGTACATAGGTTTGTCTGTTTCTATGTTGTTAAAATAAATATGCAAGTCATTGTTCAGTAAGTTAAAATGATTGTTAACCTTGAAATAATATTTTTGCATGAGATGGGAGATTTTTTAAGTCCTGGATTGGATTACAGAAAATGACACATGACTGTATGAAGTGTCATGATTGTGTCAGGGTTCATGTGATGAAAATACATATCATCTTGACATTCAGCATGCAAGTTATTTATGGTATGAAGTGCACAGTTTGAAACTTCAAATATATAATTGAAGTCAATGGATATTTAGCTTGATTTGACATGTATTTATTCAGATTTACTTCCTAGTGCAGTACAATGTAGTTTTATTAAAGCAATGTTTGAGTTTTAACTTAATAATTACAATTTAGCTTGTTCTACTGAGAATTATAAAGTAACATATTAGTGTATATTCTTCAAATGACCCTTTATATGCTTCTTTCATCATAGACAGACCATGGTTGCCATACTTGCCATATTGATTTTAGCCACATATTATTACTAGAACTCGATTTACTAAAATGTTGTTTTATATTTTTCCAGATAGAGGGATGTCCTCCACTATATCAAGTTTAAACAGCCTGTTCTCCTTCACAAGTCCTGCTGTTAAACGTCTTCTAGGATGGAAACAGGGTGACGAGGAGGAAAAATGGGCAGAGAAGGCTGTTGACTCACTTGTGAAAAAACTTAAAAAGAAGAAAGGGGCTTTAGAAGATCTCGAGAAAGCTTTAAGCTGTCCGGGACAGCAAAGCAAATGTGTAACAATTCCTAGGTCTCTGGATGGTAGGTTGCAGGTATCTCATAGGAAAGGTTTGCCTCATGTAATCTACTGTCGTGTGTGGCGTTGGCCAGATTTACAAAGTCACCATGAACTTAAAGCCCTTGATTGTTGCGAGTTTCCATTTAATGCAAAACACAAAGAAGTGTGTATAAATCCGTATCACTACAAAAGAGTTGAAAGTCCAGGTAAGATATTCTTTACGTATATATTTATTTTTAGCTTGATGTTTGAAACTGAATAAAATTGAATTTTTCCCAAATTTTCAAGACTTACCTTACCAATATTTAGTCAATATTTTTTCGTTATTGTACACAACCTATCAATACTTAAAAATTATTTCATTATTGTGGCTTATTCTTTCATGAAGTGAACTACAACTTAAAGCACTTAAATGATTGTAGCTTTCACAAGAAATATAGTGCTATTGTAGTAGCAGGACTTCTGTATGCTATTAAATATAAAGATTTTCTAATTGGTAATATGATCAGGATTTGATAGTTTTGCCAGTATGCAAAGGTTATATAGCAGACAACTGTTAAAAAATGCAGAGCCATATTATCCTGTCAAAAGTATTTCTAACAATAAAAAACATTTCTTTCTTTAATATGAATGAAAGTAATTCTAGAATTAGCAGCAGCCATAAATATAGATTATCTAATGAAAATAAATGCAGTATCAACACAGCTTTTGTCTATATATGTATGTTTCTTGAACAAAAAAATAAGGAAAATACTTGGTATTATTTCAGTACTGCCCCCAGTTCTAGTCCCACGATACAGCGAGTTTCCAGCAGGTCACAACCCATCGATGCCCCCATTTCAGGCAGTACCAGAACCATCAATGCCACACAATGTCACATACCCAAACAACTTCCATACTGGCCCAACATCCCCGGCCAGTTCTGGACCTGGCAGCCCATATGGAGGTGTACCGGGTAAGTTAATTATATCCAAGATTACTATTTACAAAATGTATTAACAAAATTGAGGACTGTTGAAAGTAACTTTGCATGAATTAAATGTTACTCAGAAGTGTCTTTTATGATGAATATATAGAAAAATATCAAATTTAAATTGACTTTGATAAGTCATTTTTAAAAACATCTGATGTTTTACATTTACAAATGTTTATAGTTCATATTTAATCTCTTAGTTATGTTTATCATTGATTGAAAATTTTGTATCGATATATCAAGCTAAATATCAACAATATATCAATTTCAATAGCCTGTAGGCTGTACAGTGGAAACTATTCAAATATGTGTAATAAATTTTCCTTACAAACACAACGTACTGAAAGAAAGAACCCTTTTCTGGTTTGTATTTTACAGACCTCTGAAAATTTAATCCTGTGTTCAGACTAGGGAAGAAAAGTGACATTTTCCCTGTACACATGTTTCAGTAAACATGAAGAAATGGTTTTTAAATTGTTTAAATATTCTAAATTGTGAATCAATATTGTATCGATTGTTGAATATTGATGATGTATCGATATTGCCATATTCAATGACAGCCCTACTTTTAGTATTTAATTAGCATGTTTGGATTTTCTAATTAGGGAATATGCTGGTCTGAAAAGTTGGTCTGAAGTGCTAGTAAAAATACCCTTGAAATAGAAAGGGTATGTAGAAACAGTTCCTCTGTTGCCAGATGGTTAAAGTTGCTGGTTTAGAACTACTTGCTACTCACTGCTGGTGGTCAAAATCCAGGGGTCGGGTCTTCGAATTCTGTCATATCAGGCGGCTGTTGAACTAGCATAAAGAAGGATAAAGAGTTTATCCTGGAAAATCCCCACCCTGAGTTTATCACCATATGATCTGTACAAAGTTGAGATAAAAATCCAACCAAAGCAAAGAAGAGGGGATGTCTCTCTCAATAAAGAGACCAGAATGAGTCAAAATATAATGCAATATTGAGTGCATTATTGCCCTGTTCAAAAAAATGATCGAAATGGAATAATGTAAAAAAACATGATCTTGTTCTTGAAATCCCAATGGGCCTTTTCATGACATCTGCTTTAAGTATGATTGAATAGAATAATATGAAAAGACATGTTTGTATAATGTGTATCGCCTGAACAAAAAGTTATATGAATTATTGATGAGAGATCCCTGTTTTAAATGAATCCTCTTACATATGTTGATGAGACTTTTGAACAACTTACCACATAATTCAGATAAAGAAATTTAATCCTTTGGTAAAAGCATATTTAAATGAGCATTGAATGGTTTTGTTTATTTCAGTTGATAGAAAGTTAATTGAATATTTAAAATAATTTGTTTTTGTTTGATTTTGCAGCGGATACACCGCCTCCGGCTTACCAAGTTCACGATGACAACAGCCCACCAAGCAGCCAGAGCCGGGGTCAACAGCCCATGGATACAAGCATGCCCCCTCCACCAGTTCCCCCACCTACAGTCAATATACCAATGAGTGATAAATATCCAGCTCGTAAGTTCATTCTCTTAAGCTACAGAAACAATTTGGGGCATTTCTTACAGTTTTCTGTAATTATCGATGCTTGTGTGCTAGTCAGAATGGCAGCAACCTCTGGAAAAGAGGCATATTGAACAAAATTAAAACAACAACACAGGGAACACTTGGAATATTTTATCCTTTTTTTTTTATAAGCTTTCTTTCAACAGAGCATCTCAGTTTAAAAAAAAAAGTTAGCAATAGAGTTATTGTTCTTATAAAGGTATTCATTACATTTATCCAATAAGTTTGTTAAATGTATAATGACTCGCCATTTCCGGCCTCCAGTAGGAATGATAGCTCCTATATTTGTGTTGTCATGTTTAAGTAGTGTAACTATGCCATCATAATTCCTAGAAAAGTTTATATTTGCATACAGTTGGTCCTGGTCTGCACGAATCTTGGTGAAATTTTCAGATTTCAGTTCTATTCAAAACTTTTATTGTAAATTTACTACACTTAACGTTTTTCCTTTTTCACCATATGTGGTGTTTGTATGTTACAAAGTTTGTATGTTACAAACATATTTAAATGTTTGCCTTAAGAGTTATCAAATTAGCTTGAATGCTTTCCACTTCAATAAAGTGCATTTAGTTAATACAAATTGAAAGATTTCATGACAGAATTATTCTCCTATGCAAATTTGATGTTTCTCAATTTTCGGAGTGATAAATGAAAGGCGAATTGCATTACAATGAAATTGGTAGACAATAATCCATGATCGTTGTAGCGATGAATGCTTGAATGTTTTATCTTAGCTGTAAATGTTAAAAGCATTAAGATACATTTACCAATAAAACTAAAAGGGAACATCTCTTGAGACTGCCTTATTTCAAATGTAAATTAACTTCACATTACTCAGAAATGGGAAAAAATGCTAATATTTGTCAATATGTGGTTTTAGAATAAATGATGAGATTTGACATTTCCTGCTGTCAAAGCAGCACCAGTAGCAGATGGATTCAAACAAATCTTGTTTTAATTTCAACTTTCTGTTAGTTTGTTTATGCGGGGTTGTTTTTGTGCAACAAGTGGCAGTTACGATAGAGTGAAGGGAATGCATATTCAAATGAAATTGATTTTTCTTCAGGACCCACACCACTCACATGTTTCCAAGCACTATGTACTATGATTAAAATGTTGTAGTTTTCATTATCATGTCAGTTTCAACCACACAACATATACATGTAATATGCAATTGTAGGTCCGAAATTAAATAGCCAATATTATAAGGCATATTCAAACTACTTGGCCTTGTTCTATAATGAAGGCAATACAAATTATTCTTTAATGGAGGAAAAGGCAGTACAAAAAGGTTTTATGATTAGGGAGGCATGGGCATTGCATTATGTTCAATTATAGAGAAATTAAAATCAAACACAATGTCATTATTATTTCGTATAAACTATGTAATCTTCAAAATATATCTGTTTTTCACAGATATGCAACCAGTGACCTATCAAGAGCCACAATACTGGTGTTCTATTGTATACTACGAATTAAACAACAGGGTAGGAGAGGCTTTCCATGCCTCACAAACGAGTATAGTTGTTGATGGTTTCACAGACCCCTCCAATAATGCAGACAGGTTCTGTCTTGGTCTATTGTCCAATGTAAACAGAAACTCTACTATAGAAAACACAAGAAGACATATAAGCAAAGGTATGAAATTATCTATTAAAATTTTAAAACTTTTGTAACATTTTCTTTGACAAGTTTAAATAAATTTTATATTACATGACAACAAATATAAAGCTTTTTAGTTATTTTATAACTAAACACTACATTGAAATTGATGAGAATAAACTTATTCTAAACACTGATATTTTAAATCTTGTCCTGTATGAAATGTATAGGCGAAAATGATTATTCAACATGTTATAGGGGCGTCCGTGGCTGAGTGGTTAAGGTCGTTGACTTCAAACCACTTGCCCCTCACCGCTGTGGGTTCGAATCCCGACAGGGACTTTGGATTCTTTCATGTGAGGAAGCTATCCAGCTAGCTTACGGAACGTCGGTGGTTCTACTCGGGTGCCCGTTCGTGGCTGAAATAATGCACAGAAGGGCACATGAGGTCTTCCTCCACCAGTAAAGCTGGAACGTCGCGATATGACCTATACTGTGTCGATGTGACGTAAAACCAAAAAAAAAACAAAAAAACAACATGTTATATTACATATTTGTAATACAAAGGAATATTTCAATGTTATATAAAATGGAAAACAAGCAACATAATATGATTACGTTACATATGATCAGTGAATGAGTGACATTCCAAACAGTAAGACTCCTTACTTATGGAACCGAACAAAAGATAGGTGGCTATTTAAATATTATGCAAAGTAATTTGAGTTAGTTTTTGTCAAAAGTGTTGCTATATTATAATAATTAATTATATTGTAGGTGTTCATCTATATTATGTTGGTGGTGAAGTGTTTGCCGAATGTCTCAGTGACAGCTCTATATTTGTACAGAGCAGGAACTGTAATTATCACCATGGTTTTCATCCCACCACAGTGTGTAAGATTCCACCAGGCTGCAGTCTGAAGATCTTTAATAATCAGGAATTCGCGGCACTTCTCAGTCAAAGCGTGAATCATGGATTTGAGGCTGTGTACGAACTTACAAAGATGTGCACTATTCGTATGAGTTTCGTTAAAGGCTGGGGAGCAGAATATCATCGCCAGGATGTAACCAGCACACCATGTTGGATAGAGATACATCTGAATGGTCCGTTACAGTGGTTAGATAAAGTTCTCACTCAGATGGGCTCACCCCATAATGCAATATCATCTGTATCATGATTCTTTCTATTCACATAAGTTAAACATTCAGATCAAACTATGACATACAATCAAAACCAGGATATAGCTGCTATATGTATGCTAAAAAAAAGAGAAATAATTCTGGATGTACAGATAAAATGTTTTTATCTTTTCTCCTTGAAAATGAGTATATGAACATTTTATATGTTGAACCTTTCATTCAAGAGTTATTTTAGAAATCTGAATGCAAAAAGATCTGTTTTAATTCATTTTCATCAGATATATATATACAAGTGTCATTAATTTTAAGAGAAAATATGCCACCCAAAACAAAATATAGTGAAACAGGGTTTGGTTTTGATGTATACAAAGAAAATTCTTTGTGTATTTTCAAACCAGTGTTTGATCTATGACAAAGCTTCTTTTTTTTTAAAAATGTTGTAATGTTTACCTGTGAGGAATGGGTGCTTTATGTATTACCAATTCAATATTCATATTGTTGAAAAAAATCCATGATATCATTGTCTACATTGTATGTCCTACATGGTTTTGTATGTGTATAGTCTGAAAAAAAACTGTCATTTTATGCTTGCATTAGGTTCCTGCAACATTAAAGCTGGGAAGATGGGTTGAATTTTTGTTTGTTCACAAATAATTAGCTTTAATTGTATTTAAAGAAGACATTTAGTAATTTTGAAACTAACGCATGAGTTGTCTCTTTAAATTAGACAGGTTTAATTTTTAATCTGCTGAAATTGCTGTACAGGATAAGCCCTGCTTTGAATTTGGAACAGTCAATTCATAGTTTGAGGTTTTTGAATTTCAAAATACAAAAAGCAAGCTAGCAACTGTATAGAGCCTAGACAGACTGCAAGGAAATTTTGCTTAACTGAGCTTATATGATTTCAAAAGCTTGCTATTTCATTTTCTAAAAGATTGAAATTACATCAATTTTCAGCCAGATTCTTATTCATCTTGACAAAAGCACTTTACTGAAAAGAGTGAAAAAATCACCTTTTTTTTTAAGTGCTATTGCTTTCTTTAAAACTCTTTGTAATTAATTCATAATGCTGTTTTACAATACTCTTGTAGATCTAGATTTTTATGAAACTTATACAAGTTCATAGGATATCTAATTAATCAGTTTTAAGTTTAATAGCCAGATAGGTCAACTCAAAAAAGATATATTTTGTAAAGTAGCAATACAACATATTTTCTGAAGAGCTTTTAAATCCAACTTATAGTTTTATCTTATATTTGAACTGGACTTGGGTGGGGCATAAACCTATCTTCTGGAACCTTCAGGTTGCTTGTCAGGAAGAAGGGACTACAGATGAGAAATGCATGATTTATTGAAAAAAAGAGTAACCTGTAACCTGCTGAAGTTTTGTAATGGGTTTGCCCTGCTTTGAATTTGGAACAGTCCATTTACACTTCAAGGGATTTTAGTATCAAAATTCATAAAATGGAGCTACCATCAGTATGGCACCTGTTCAGACTGCACGGAGATACCACTTGCCCGGCTCGAATACTTGTGGCAAAGGCTGTATCACTCACTTCCAGTAGGTTGGGATGAAGTTTTCAGCGTTGTTCGTGAATATGATAAGAATGAATGAATGGATTATGTTATTTTTGCGCATACATTTAATGATTTTTCTATAGTAATATTTTTATTATTATTTTCTCAAAAGTTTATTGAAAATACTGTTACTTCTGTTAATCTAATTACTAGTTGCAGGCTTTGAAACAAGTATATTTATTCTAATAGTTCTTGAAAGATAATACAGTTTACAATGCTGTGGCATAGCCCGTTTTTACAAACATTATTTGATAAGTTGTAGATTAGTTTATGTGAAAGAGGTAAAAAAGATTAGTTTATGTGAAAGAGGTAAAAAATGCTGAAAAATATTTGCATTTACTTAAAATACTGCTTAAGACTCTGATTTATTTTTGCCTGTGTGTCCTGCTAGCTTACGGAATAATGTTGTTTTTACTGATCTATAATTGAAGTAATGTAAAGCGGCACTTAGGGTCGTTCTTTGCCACAAAGGCTAGAAGGTCTATATGACCTGAACAGTGAAAATGTTACTTGAAACTCATCCAGAAATAAACAGATAAAATCTCATGTTTTCCTATATAATTAAAATGATAAATAGTATTGATCTAGAATGACAGGATCTTTAATTTGTTAATATTGAGATTTAATGAGGAAATAAGCCCATCAAATGAAGGAAATTTAAGTAGATAATTTCTGTTTTTTATCTTATGCCTAGACATTTAGCATAAAAATTGAAATTTTAAGCTTTTCTCAATGCATTCTTAGACTTTTTGAATACTGTTAGTGTATAACTGTCATTTAATTATTCTGGTACATTTATTTGTTCCAGACATAAAAGATTGAGACTGCTGTAACAAATGGGCAATTTTTAGAAGATCAGACATGAAATTGCTCCTTTACATATTTAGGTTAAGTCATATAGCTTGCATATATATATTTCTGAAGGAAGCTTAGTGCCTATATTGACTGTTTTGCCTATCTAACAAAACAAGAAATGTATAAAATTTGAATGGTAACATCAGATCTTAGGGGATACATCAGTTCCTTAAGTTTAATGTCAGTTATGTTTACACATAGCATAGGTCATATCATTGTGTGGACACGGGTCACATGTAGACATAGGTCGCATGTGTAGACACAGGCCCCATGTAGACACAGGCCACATGAAAAGTCTTGTCACATTTTTGGACACAGGCCACATGTAGACATCAGAAGTGAACACACAGGGTGCATATGTATACACAGGTGAAATGTGTAGACATTGAGTCATTTTCTTCATGGGTGCAATCAATACATTCAAGTTACTATTTTTGTCTAATTTGGTTCACCTACAGTTTGACTTTGCTTGTTTCTTCATATTTGATAGCAGTTGGACTGCTTTTAACATGTTGCTACACACACACATATTTATATAAAAGCTTTACTTTTGTGAAACTTTGTTTATAGGGGTGAATTTTTTAGAATAAATTTACATTGTTTCATGTGATGTTTTCTTTTCAAACTGTATGACTGTTGTTAAAGTGCTAAGGTGATATGTAGTAGTGTGAATAAAGTTTTAGTGTTAATGAGTATAGTATAAAGTCTATGTCTAGTTTTTTGTTATTACACACACAATATATATATAAGAGATGATATAAGCAAATTTTTTAAGATTTTCATTGTTTTTTTTTTTTGTTTTTCTTATTTTTCTGTACTGAAAGAAATTTAAAAAAAAAGGAAAGATTTTTATCTAGCACAACAAAAAAGGTGAATATGTTGATGTTTTTATGTTTGATAATTGTGAATAAGATGATGAGCATTTATAGGGCTAAAGTATATAAATATAAATACTGTATGTCCATTGTTATTTGTATGAAACTTTATTTCAGATTTTAAGTTAATGTTTTGAGATTCCTGTTTTATGCACATTTATGTGGCACTAAGATTATTTTTTAAGTGAAGAAATATATACACTTTATGTGTTGCCCCTCTGTGTAAAATAAAGGTTGTTTGCATTTTATTTTGATGTTGTTACGAGAAACCCATTGTTGGGAACATTTAGTTTTTCAATACTAAAGGTAGGCAACTCTTCATGATGGTAGGAAGATGTAGGTTTTCAGAAATCAAAGTGACTTGGAAAAGTAGTGCTAAATATTTTGTATATACAATAAGATACATCTCTATAATTACTCCATGTCTTTTACTCCTGCTGTAATTTGTTGTGGATTTATCTTACATTGAATTTAGTAGTCTATTATGAGATTGAGGGATTTCAACAACTAATTAATGAAATCAAGCAGCCAACAGTAGCTCAGGTTGCATATTTTATGCTAGCCTGGCTCTATATACATCAAGTTAGTTTGAGTACCAATGATCAAAGTGTATTTTATGAACAAACTTTTATATCTGCATATATTTTACTTTCTCTTTTCAAAGGTGAAGATAAGAAAAAGGTTTTCTTTCATTTACTTACCCACCAATTTTGTAGGAAACTAAATTTATTTTTGTATTAAATCTGAAATGTCTTCTTTTTTTTGTCATTCATATACAGAACTCTTTAATTTAGTGTTTTTTTCTAACTTTAAAAACATCTATGTAAATTTAAAAATCATTTTGGTAAAGTGTGATTTTGTTATATGCTTTGATATTTCAAAGTTTCTATGTTTGTTTGTTATAAGTATACATGTTTGTGATCTCAGGTGGAAGGGTATTTCAGTGTGATACAGAAAGGAAAGCATGGTATTATTTGTGTATTCTTTAATAAAATGCCTGGGATTGTTAGCGGGCACATTTTCCAAAAGATTTTTAACAGGTTGTTGGTTAGTAAATAATGGGGATTATCAGATTTATATTAAGTTTTATAGTCAAAAGAAATTGATTTTAATTGATTATCTGCAAGTTTGTTTTTCAAACTTGCAGAACTCTTTAAATTTTGTTTTGAGCTACTTTGGTTGTATAGTAAGGTTGTCAGTGAAAGAAATGGCTGGGCATTCACAAGAATACATTTTGCTATCTTGTTTATATTGAAGAAAGAATTTTAGAAATGATGACAAGATTTGGTTTAAATTGAAGTGTTACCTTTAATTGTTTTCTTAGGCAATAAAGCGCAAGTGTGGTTTCTTGTAACTAACTTAACATTTTGTTTTTTGTATAACCTGTGCTGACTAGAAGATTCTAAATTCTTGTTATCTATCTTGCATGTGTAAAGTTATTTGTGCAAATATATAAAGGTTACATTGTTTTGTTACTGTCCTGTTTTGCTACAGCTGTGAGCGTTTCTTTGTTTATATTTTTATAGTCATTTTTGTAATGTAATATTTTTAAGAATTCATTATTATTATTTGTTTGCATTTATGTACAAGCCAATGTTTTTTTGTAAATATTTGTAAATAGCAATATAGTATATAAAATTTCTACATGTTCTGTAACTTTTTTGAAACAAGATTTATTCTAAACAATAAATGAATAGAATTTTTCAAATTTTACCCTTCTTTATGATTAACTAAAGGAAAAAATGAGCGAAAAACATTTATTCATAGATACTTGTGAAGATTTAATGTATGTGTTCCTTGATGTTTAAACATAGAAGATTCCTACATTTGTCTGTTATGCTACATCAAACATTATTTTGTGTCGTACATTTACATTAAAAGGTTTTTAGCTCCCCACCAAGTAACATGTTTCAAATTGACTGCTTTAAGAATATTAGCAATAAAATTAAGAATTGTTTTCATAATGTTTGAGGCTTCAATAGCTTGTACAGAAATATGTTTTGATGTGTTGAAATTTATTTTTGGCAGTAGTATTTCATTTATTTGAATATAACATATGATTACAAAAGACATAAGGTATTTTGTATTGTTACTTTTATAGGATAAAACATTTTATCTTTCAAAAATATTTACATCCTTTCTTTTTGTTAATCAAACTGTCTTCCATTAATAAAACAAAAACACACAAATGTATCAGATATATTTGAAAATTTAGTTATCTAAATTAATATTAATAAATCTTAAGGTATTCATCTTTGATTTGTAAAAGTAATAATTCGTTGGATTACACATTTCTTGACATTTTTGACTTCTTGTTAATTTAAGTTTGTTGAGTCTTGTTCAAGCTAGAGAATAGTGGTCATTTTGATGGTCTTGTTTGGAAGTTGTTTGCATTTAGACATGACTTTTTTACACAAAATAAATGTTACCTTTGTCATTGACTATTAGCATAGTAACTTATGTTAACATTGTGCATCTTTATATTGGTACATTTCATATGAATACTGTGAAATAAATATTATGCTGCAGGAACTTATTTGGTCATTTATTCAGGTAATTTATACTACGAATCCCACTCTTTCATGTGAGGAAGACATCCAGCTAGCTTACAGAACGTCTGTGGTTCTACTCGGGTGCCTGTTCGTGCCTGAGGTCTTCCTCCACTAGTAAAGCTGGAACGTGGCCATATGACCTATACTGTGTTGGTGTGACGTAAAACCCAATCAAACAAACAAACACTTCCAGCTGGTGATGTATAAAACACTTGTCTTGCCTTAGATTTTCACAAATCTACTATTTTCACAATTTTAGGTGATTGCCATCTGAGCAAATACAAGCCCGATATTAATCAGATTTATAGCAAACTAGGAATAATTATTGGAGATTGTGTTAGGGTGTCCCTAGCTTGGTCTCATGCTGATAACCTGTGGTTGCTTTGTGCATCTAGTCCATTTAGTGTTCAGGAATACAGAATGTCAAGAATACAGAATAGAAATTTTAGAGGATATCGTGTTCCTTATGTCATATTTCCTGCTTTTAACCAGTAAACCTCACTCCATCCTAAAAATTTACTCCATATAAGATACAGAGTAATTTTTAGGGTTGAGTACTGTAAGGACAAAAACAGAAAAGGGGACATTACCAGTTATCCCATTTCTCTAGCTCCTTGGGATGCTTACCCACATACCAAGTCAATGACTTCCAAAAACCAATTTCTGAAACACACTACAAGGAAGAGGCAGGGGCCAAGGTTAGGTTAGACCCATATGCACCTTCAGAAAGGATAAGAAGTTTACTAGACAGGCTACCTTATACAGCAACCGTTTTGGGTTATTTTAAAGGAATGCTGTGATTCATTTGACCACTTGGGGACTACCACTGGCATCACTTATGACAAATTGCTGCAGTGATGATAGAGACCTAAAACTTTGACTCGTTTCTACCGTATCTCCAGTAAGGCTCTTTCAATTTTATATTTAAAGGACCCTGCTCTAGTCAATGGACAGTAAGTTTATAGCTATGAAAAAGATTTATAACCTACCCCTGGTTATTAGACAGTACTTGAGTTTGTTTTTTTATCTCTGTTGTCACTGGTCACCAAATGTCTATGATCTAGGACCAGTACAGTTGTGACTGAGTGTTAAGATGTTTGTCAAGGAGTATTTTTTAAGTGAAATAAAGAACACAATTTGAACTGAGTAAAACCTCATAACCAATCTCTCTAAGTTGCACACAAGTTGTGTGTTGAAAGACGAACGACAACTCAGCTTGAAGATTGCCTACAACAAAGAAGGAAAAAGTATAGTGGCCGTAAACCTTAAAGGTTAAAATCTAGTTCGTATCGAAAATTGTCCACTGCACAAAAAAGATTACACTTTCAAAAAACAGGTAATTGACAGTTTGATTTTTTCTTTATTCTATATAAATCTATGTTTACCACTTCGTTCTGCAAGTAAAATTGAATGACACGGTTCAATAATATACATGTGTATAGTTTCTTCCCGATTGTCACATATTTACGCGACTAACTAAACATTTCTACATCTACATGATACTGCTTAACAATCAATTCTGATTAGCAGGCTTGTTGTCAGGCCCAGAGAAATTGTTAATAAAAGACATTATATGCAAATTTAGGAAAATATAAGAATAAAAGATGGTTTTACATGCAGTAGGTTTAAAAGTCATTCATGCATATATATATTATCTAGGATATATTTCCACCAGCAAAGCCGAAAAGTTGTTATAACACGTGACTTATATGTACATTTTAGTGAAACAAAACAGGCTGTCATTCAGGAAGATGAATAAAGAAGCATTTGGCAAATATTTTACTGGCATATACCAGGATGGAATGATAATGTTGTCAATTGGTTTAGGGCATGATCTTGGACTATTTAAAGTTCTTTGTGAAGCTACAAAGCCCATAAGTCTTGAAGAAGTAGCAAAGACATTGGATCTGAAAGAAAGGTACAAAAAAGAATTATCAATTATGGATTTTTCTTACTTTTTTAAGTATGTTTAGCTGGTCAGTTTTACAGGAAAAAAAAACATCAAGCTGTTATGATCACTGCATCATAGTTGTCGCTGTCATCATTGCCATGGTTGTAGTTGTCATACAAAAACTTTAATGTAACCCATTATTCAAACATCAGCATCAAACTTGGAATATTTGCTTTATCAAGGCAAGGTGCAGTTTTTGGACCAGGGGCAAAATTCTGAAAGCTATATTTTTGGAGTTGGGCCCATTTTTAACTAAGAATTATCATAAAAATTGGTGATTGAAAGTCGTTCCCATTAATAGACGAGTGGTTACACTATATGCAGTGCTCTAGTTTAAGCTTTATTATTATAGTTATACTATGAGCATTAAGTTAATATTTCGAATGTGTATACTGGATAACGTAGTTCTTGTAAATCAAAAATTGTTGCTTACTATTAATTCATTGGTTTTTCTTTTTATTTATATTCATAAGTTATTGTAAAAACTTGAAAAATCTTGTCTTCTAATGCAGTGAGATACTTGGGATCACAAATTGTCTAGTTGACCTGTACCAAGTTTGTTTGAATTGTAGCCCATGGGTCAAATTTTGCCTAGCCACAGGATTCTTGGGTTTTCCTTTTATGCATATTTTAGCAATTTAAAATATTTTGTGTTCTGGAACATCAAAAGTGGGGACTTTGATATTTTGCATTAAAGATTGTAAAGTGGACGGCCTTAACCATTGACATTCTTGAGAACCAGGGACATCCAAACCAACCATTGACTTTCCACAGCAACCAGTGACTTTCATAGTAACCATTGACCAGTGATTTCCATAGCAACCACTAACTTTTCTTAGCAACCTGTGACTTTTATAGCAACCATTGAATTTTGCCATTGAATGACTTTTTATTATACATGTATGTTTTTCATTTTAAAAATGCAGGTTTGAACTTTGGTATCATTTGACCTAGATTTTGAATAAATACCTACTTTTCTTTGATAGTTATTAGTATTACTTGTTCCTTGTCATATATTGTCAAGTGAGGGCTATAAGAACCATAATGGCCCGCTAGTTTACCAATATTAATGGCATATAGAAGTAGTTAATAAATATTTTATCCTTTTTCAGATACACACAGGAATGGTTATCCACCATGGTTGCAGCTGGAATTATACTACAGGACAGAGATTCAAACCTGTACACAGTTCCTGAAGATTATAAGCAGACCATTATGTCAAATATGGGCTTTGCACCAATTTTGTTTACATTAGGGAAAAGGTCGGATAAAGTGAAAGAATGCTTCAAAAAGGATGGTCCTTATGGTAACAATAGAACTTCGGTTCTTTTTATTGATGTTTTATTAACAATTTAATATAAATTGTAGTTGTAATTATACAGGAGATTGATTGGTTATTTGAAACTACCCGCCTATATGACTGAAATACTGTTGGAAAAGGCGTAAAATGAAAACAAACAAACAAAAACTGGTATAAGTTACACCTGTAGTGCATTTAATGTATTTCTTCATTGGATTTGCAAAAAGGGTAATATGAATAATGAAATTTTTGTTATATTTGCATAGTTATATCAAAGTGTTTGTTAATTACATTGCAATTAGGACTGTTTCAGGGATAAGTTACCAGGACGAAGAAGCTACTGGCTGGTTTGACTGGTTTGATGGATACCGGTCATTGATGGTTGAAGGTGCAATAGACAAGGAAGTTTTACCATTACTAACACAGCAAGGGGTTGTTCCTAATCTTGGTATGATTTTACATGAACTATAAGATAAAATACTCTGTAAGTTATTAGTTTCATATTGGTTCACCAGGATTGGAAGTTTGTCTGTGGATTTGCACTCCATTAGTCTGTCATTCTGTCCTCAGAAACTCAAAGTCTATGATAATTCAAAGGTACATGAAATGTATGTATAAAACATGACACTGGTATCAGTGGCAATATGGAGATTATGCACAACATTTTGTTATTTACCGTTGTGATTTCGAAACACCCGATAACTAATGGACATTTACTTGTACATGTATATAGGTTATGCTGCCAGTGGAGTCTGGTATCAAGCCTGGCAGCAAACCTGTGACAATTACTCCGCCATGTATATATACAGTAATGCAGAAATGTGAAAATAAAGCACAAATTATACAAAAAGTAATGCCATATTTGTGCAAATTAATGGGGAAATGAGTAGCACGGTAAATAAACACATCAAATTGATTTTGAGAAAAATTAATATACAGTATTGTATATAGCTGCTATAAGAGATTGTTTATTATCCAGCATATTTCAAGGAAATCTTTACATTTTAAAAGCATACACGAGAATGACTTTCTCACGACCCCCTTTAAAAATATACTATAAGTTAAGAGTAACTTATAGTATATTTTTAAAGGGGGTCATTATTTACATTTTTTTTTTGGTTTTTTGACACTTTTAAGATGAACAACGTTTTTTTTATCAATCTGGTCATATTTTTTTCTTCCCAGGTCCGATACTCGTGCCTGTGGGTTAAGTTGGAATATGGGTCACCATAGGTCAAAAACTAGGTCATAAGGCCTAGATATGGAGAAACCTTGTTAACACTCTATATAGTGGTCACATTTTTAGCTCGACTATTCAATAAGAATAAGTAGAGCTATTGTAGTCACCCGAGCGTCGGCATCCGCGTCAGCGTAACCACTTATGTTAAAGTTTTTGTAATACCTGAAAAATTTCAAAGTCCAATGACATATGGCTTTGAAACTTTGCACACTTGTTCACCATCATGACCCCAATCTGTAGACAGGAGGAGGTAACTGTATCAAGCATTTTGGTAGAATTATGCCCCTTTTTGACTTAGAATGGACGTTAAAGTTTTTGTAATACGTCAAATATTTTCATTGACATATAGCTTTGAAACTTTGCACACTTGTTCACCTGCATGACCCCAACCTGTAGACAGGAGAAGGTAACTGTATCAAGCATTTAGACAGAATTATGTCCCTTTTTTGACTTAGAATTTATGTACAAGTTTGCATACCACCTCAGATATTTTCATATTCTATTGACATCTGGCTTTAAAACAAGTTGAAATATTATACTCTTCTTTGAGAGCATTATAGGACTCTCTCCAAGGCCTATAACTGTAACATGGATTTAAAGAAAAAATTTGCCCTTTTGTAAACTTAGAAAATTTTACATTATCAAGGCTCTTTTACTATCAAGCGTTGCTGTCCTACCGACAGCTCTTGTTCACTCAATTGTCATCAATGTTTGTCAGGATGCTTGTCTAGATAATTGCTCGGATGAGTTTGAACATGGGTTATCTGGATGAAAAACTAGGTCACAGGAGATAAAAATTGAAAAAATCTTGTTAACACTCTAGTGGCTATTGTATTGATACAAGTATCCTTGAAATTGGTCTGAAAGTTTGTTTTGATGATTTCTAGGTCAAGTTCGAATATCGGTTACCTTGGGTCAAAAACTAGGTCACACTGCCCAAATATGGATAAACCTTTTTAACACTCTAGAGGTCACATTTTTGTCTCAATTATCATCAAACTTGGACAGAATGCTTGTCTAAGTAATTGCTCGGATGAGTTTGATGGGTCAGGTGAGAGATCTAGGGCCATCTTGACCCTCTTGTTATGACATAGATCGGAGTTGCTCTGTGCATCTTTCACAAACACAGCGTTATGTCATAAGAATGGCTTAGTCACATTTTATCTGGCTTATTTCAGTATTGTATATCACAAGTAGTTTGACAAATGTCTCCGTTAAACCGAATATCAGAAGCAATTACATAAAAATGCGTTATTATGTTGATAATTAACAACAAAAGACAAATATTGTCTTCAAATCAACAGCTAGGTTGTCATTGTCGCAAATGATTTTAAGCCTAATAATATATTTTATGAGTTTTAAAATGTAATGTCTTATGTGCTCTTTCAATTTGATATGCTATGAAACAATTGTATCAGTCAATTTAATCACTTTTGCGTTGTTTTGGTCATAGTTTTGCACAATTCAACATTACTTTAATGTAACAGAATATTTGCGTTATATATTCATATTTCTGCATTATATTCACATTTTTACGTTGCTGGATATACATAGTGTATTCGTTTTTATACCAAAAAAGAAATAAATAGAATAAACGACTGTGAAAACTGGTAAAGTCAAACTTTGTGTTACAATCTTGCAGTAAGATCAGTTACATTAAAAATGTGTTGGGAGGGAAGGGCCTCACGTGTATATCTATTCACGACCCATTACTTCCCATTTCACATATGCATAGTAGCTAGTGTTAATCGGAAAACGGGAATCTTCATTTAAAACTTCTTGAAAGAAGAATTTAATTTACTCCAAATTTATGGAAATCCATCTTAAACAATTATATCATAAACATATCTGTGTTTTTATTCGTATAAATTTATACATTTTATAAATATAAAATGATTTCAGAATCTGGCATCAAAGTGCTTGACGTTGGTTGTGGCTCTGGTAACTTTACAAATCTTCTAGCCGAAAGATTTCCAAAATCAACATTTACTGGGTTGGATTATTCGGAAGTTGCAATAGAAAAGGCCAATAAAATTAAAGCTAAGAAGGGATTAACTAATATTACATTCACTACAGGTGATGCACACAATTTAACAGAAGACTGGACTGAAAGTTTTGACTTTGTGTTTGTTTACGATGTATTGCACGACTTACCAGATCCTCATAAAGCTTTGACACAAATTTACAAAGTGTTGAAGAAAGGTGCCCGTTTTAGTCTCATAGAGATTGGTTTCCATAGCAACCCACTCGACAATGCCGGTGATAAAAGTGCAGCTATGTACTATTCAGCTAGTTCTTTCATTTGCCTACAGTCTAGTATGTCAGCTCCTCCACATATTGGGTATGGGGCATGTTGGGGAAGGGAAAAGATTGAAAAGGCTTTAATAGATGCTCAATTTCAAATTGAAGGCTCATCGCCAATTATTGTGATGGGTACAAAGACATTTTTCCTTTGTACAAAATAGGCATGTATGGCAAACAAACTGTCTTGAATTATAAAGCATAATCATTAAAATTGGAAAGGGTTTTTTTATTATAAAATACTTTGTACAGTTATAATAATTATCAAATTGTTTTTAGCGACATGTACAATGAATAATCAAGTATGTAAACATATGAAAAATTGTTATCAGTAGTGAATTCAGGCTTAGACTTCAGAGCTGTAGCCCTCAGCTTGGTCAGAGGATAAATTTTCAAGCTGGGCTTGAGTATTTTCATGCCAGTTTAAAGCATCCTCCCCGTTTTCAGAACATTTTATTGCTGCCATCCAGTTGTTAATCTACCTGAGGGCTTTGCAAAGATTTTCATCGATCATCATTCTTGAATTACTTAAACTGACGTCACATACTAACATTTGGATACTTGGGTGGCTACTGTATTGTTTATTGTTCTACCTACTCCCCTGTTCTTTTTTAGCCACATAAGAGAAAACACAGCCAGGGAAGAGCTTACAGAATGAATGACAAAAAGAAAAAATACATTTCCTTTTTTTGTATTCGCCTCAAGTATCCAAAGTAGCACGTCAAAACGGCTTACTAGTATTTGAGATTGGTTGTTTACTATCAAATCTTTAAATGAAAATAACAGTTAAAATAATGACACATAAGTGTATTAAGTACACTAAATTTTACTGCAGTAAACTGATAATCTATTTTCTCCGCTTTAGCCCTAAAAAGAAATTATTTATTCCCCCCCCGCCAAAGGTGAAGGGATATTAGAAATGGTCTCCGTGCGTGCTTGCTTGCTTGCGTCCATTTGTCCTTGCGGACACCAGTAACATGAGATCCATGTAATTCATTCTATACAGCCTTGTACTTTTGCTTATGAACTGAAAATAGGTTGCTTATAGGGTTTTAGAGATTGAAGAAGATGAAAGAAATAACCTTATAACGTCCATCCAAATTTTGTCTGTGCCCGATTTTGTCTGAGGAAATACTCCATAGGAACATGACAGATTTTTTTCAAACTTCATACAATGACAGAGCACATTGGTAGAAAATGCAATGTGCAAGAACAATAACTCTGCCTTGCCTACATTTAGAGTTTTTATCCTTAAGTCAGATTCACTATCAGGAGCATAACTCCAAAAGAACTCGAGGGATTCACTTCAAATTTAATACACTGACATATAGCACATTGTTACTGCAGTTGTTTTAAAAACTTAATCTATTGTTGCTTGATAAGAATTGTTAAGTCTTCAATATTTTGATTTTGTTTGTTTTCAAATATTATTTTTTGAATAAACGGTGATTAAAGTTTAACTATATCTTTATTGATTCTCTGAAGCATGTTTTAATTCAGATGAGTTCAAACAGATTTATTTATAGTCATCGCGTTGTCCGCCCATTGGCCCCTCTATCCGCTCTTGTGCGGAAAATAAGTTGATAAGTATTGAAGGAGTTTAATTAAATCTTAACACAGCGATAGACACCGTAGAGAGAAAGTGTAGTGTATAAGAATAATAACTACCTGGCTTTTTTAGCTCATCAGAACGAAAGGTTCAGGGTGAGCTATTAGTATCAAAGGGGGATGCTCCGCCATCCATCAGTCCGTCGTCATGCGTCAACAATCGTCTTCTTCTCTGAAACTGCTGGACAGATTTACTTCAAATTTGGTTTGTAGCATCCTTGTGACAGTCACACTTAAATTTGCTCATGTCATTTCAATTGGCCCCTTTAAGGGGTCAACAGAGCTTAAAATAGACAAAACCTTTAAACATCTTCTACTACAGAACTAATTTATGGATGATCACCAAACTTTGTCTGTAGCATTCTTAGGTATTCTTTTATCAAGTTTATTCATAATAATTTGATTTGCCCCTTTGAGGGGTCTGTAGGGCTAAAAATAGAAATACATTTAAACATCTCCTTTTACAGAACTAATTGATGGATGATCACCAAATTTATTCTGTAGCATTCTTGGATAGTCTTTTATCAATTTGCTCATATTAATTTGATCGGCCCTTCTAGGGGCCACTTAAGCTAAAAATAGAAAAAAAACTTTGAATATCATTTTCTACTGAAATAATTGATAGATGATCACAAAAAAAAACCTTTAAACATCTTCTACTACAGAACTAATTTATGGATGATCACCAAACTTTGTCTGTGGCATTCTTGGGTAGTCTTTTATCAAGTTTGCTCATATTAATTTGATTGGCCCCTTTTAGGTGCAGCGAAAGCTAAAAATAGAAATACCTTTAAACGTCTGCTTCTACAGAACTTTTTGATGATCACCAAACTTTGTCTGTAGCATTCTTAGGTAGTCTTTTATCAAGTGTGCTCATATTAATTTAATTGGCCCCTTTTAAGGGCAGCTAAAGCTAAAAATAGAACTACATTTTAACATCTCCTTTTACAGAATTAATGGATGGATGATCACCAAACTTTGTGGCATTTTTGGGTAGTCTTTTATCAAGTTTGCCAATATTAATTTGATTGCCCCTTCTAGGGGCCACTAAAGCTAAAAATAGAAAAACCCTTGAACATCATTTCCCACTGAAATAAATGATAGATGGTCACCAAACTTTGTCTGTAGCATTCTTAGGTAGTCTTTTATCAAGTTTGCTCATATTAATTTGATTGGCACCTTTTAGGGGCTGTTATAGCTAAAAAAAGAAATACCTTTAAACATCTTCTACATAACTAAAGGATGTATGATCACCAAATTTTGTTGGTAGCATTCTTAGGTAGACTTTTATCAAGTTTGCTCATATCAATTTGATTGTGCCCTTTTAGATGCCACTAAAGCTAAAAATATAAAAACCTTTGAACATCAACTCCTACTGAAATAATTGATGGCTGATCACCAAACTTTGTCTGTAGCATTCTTACTAATCTTAGAGTTTGCTCATGTTAATTTGATTGGCCCCTTTTAAGCTAAAGCTTAAATGCTCTAGGTCATGGCATTTCTTCAAATTATTGTTTAAAGATATTCTATGCTCCAATTTACTAGTTGAAAATATTGACAATGGATAATTTCCTATACTGAAAAGCAGTTTTTTTCTTGTGAGCGACTCAGGGCCATCGTGGCCCTCTTGTTTTAAATTCCCTTGATTTGAAAATGCTTGTCCGGAGTATTACTTCTAAACTATCAATAATATCTCGTCTCATTAAAAGTATACACAGTTGTCAGAACCAGAAAGAGGAAGTGATAGAACGTATCTAAGAACCATAACTATACATTGCTTAGTTATATAATTATCTCCCTTTTTAATACTTGTAAGGAAATGTGCAATGCCAAAAGAACCGTTATTCTACCTTGCTTATTTTAATCGTCTCCCTTTATGATACTTACAAAATAGATGTCAAATTATGCTTATCTCGATGGAGTATAATTTGTAAACTATCAATGATATCTCAATGACACTTCACAAAGTTGTAGCGAGTAGTGACAAGAAGAGCAGTGGCAAAAAATCATAACTCTACATCATTTTTTATTATCTCCCTTTATAATATGTCCAGAAAATAATTGAGAAATATTAAAGTAATTTGATTTAAACTTCACACAGTAATAGAGTTTATTAAGAAGAAATGCAGTTTTCAAAAGCAATAATTCTACCTTGCTTAAAGTTTGTAATTATCATTATCTCCCTTTATGTATCAAAGATAATAATGCTTGTCTGGTTATCAATTATATCTTCTTGAAACTTCACAAAGTGGAGCATAATATTGTTATATTCAACAAATTCAATAAATTTAGTATTGAATCTAACCGAATATAATATTCTATTGATCATACATTGTATATTACGAACGATAAATTCTTAAAGGGTTATTTTTCACAATTACAACTTTCAAAAAAGGATCGATTGTCATTTTTCATTGACGCGCCTAAATACTGTAGTGTAATGCTAACATTAGCTAACATTATCCCGCTTTTATTTGAATTAAAAAGCAAATGACGACGGGGAAATGAAAATAACGATTAATATATTGCCTCTATATGGTCAGCAAAGTTGCTAACCAGTTAGAAATACAAATGTACAAGAGAAACTGCTGAACAGTGAAATGCTATGCTAACCTTAGACTATGAAGTAGATAGGGTTACTCATGATAAAATTTCATTTTTTCCTGACTTGAGTACAATTTGTCAGTCGTCAGTCAGTGCGTCCGTTCTTCAGTGAGTCCGTCGTCAACCTTTTTGAAAAGAACTTCTCCTCAGAAACTAAAGTGTCAAATTTTATGAAATTTTCTTGGGATTTTCCTAGCATGAAGCTCAACAAGAATTGTTTAAATTGTTCTGCTCCATTGGGCCAAAAGGGCTAAACATATATTAAAAACGAAATCTTTAAAAATCATTTTCTCTTTAAGTGCAAGGGCAAGAGCTTAGATGTTTTGTGTGTAACATCATCTAATGAACTTATTCAAATTATAGCCCTTGGATCAAAATTTTCCCCGCCCCAATGGGTAATGGGTTTTCCTTTTATAGTAAATACTGAAAACTGCAAGAGCAACATCTTAGATATTTACCATGAACTATTATCTAGTTGTCCTCTTCAAAAATTGTTCATAATATTATTATAGCCGCGGGGTCAAAAGTGAACCGATCCCGGGATTATAGTTATTCTAATATGTATATATAGTTAAAACTTAAAAAATATCCTTCTCTAAAATCATGAAGACCAAAGCTACTTGAAATGAAACATGGTCTAGAGGACTGTGTTCTAATTATAGCCACGGAGTTAATATTGACCCCGCCTCAGGGTCATATGGATTTTCCTTTAATGTATATCTTATTATTACAAAAATACCATTATAAAAAATACTTTTATTAAGAATATTTCAGCTGTATTTTTTTAACTATGGATTTCAATACTTCAAGGACAATTATTTTACAATTTCTTTGACCAAAAAACAACAACAACAACAGAAACTTCTTTGACTTGAACAGAAAATGGACAATGCTTACTGTACATCCATTGTTATTATAAGAACCAACTTAAAATATGTATACACAAAACATGTTCTGTAAGTTTCTGATGTGTAAAATTAGTAAAATGGCATGCGCTGTTATAATGTGCTTTATTCTTTTTACATATTTATGTTTACTGTTGTTCCAACCTTCCCACCAAGATTTCATATAAAAAAAACTGCAAGGAATTTTAGGTAGATTTGAAAAGAATTACTGAAACCAAACCTCGCAAAAGGTTGAAACAATATTTTTTGCAACGGTACTGTATATAGAAACAACTTTCTTTTCATGCTTTCTACCATACATTTACAGATTGAGAAATATTGAGTTAACAGTTATTTTTTTATAGAGAACAAATGGTCTATACAATATTACTTGGTCCTTGTCATTAAGAGTATTTATAATTAGGTGAGCGATATAAGGATCATGGCCTTCTTGTTTTGTGTTTGTATGGCTCTGCAAGTTATCTATACATACCTATAAGCACTAATGTTCTATTGAAGGTACAAAGTATTACTTGAGATAGACCGTAGGATACTTATTTATTCAATCGCGGTGACATTGCCATTTGAAAAAAGGAGGAAAAAAATCAGCACTGTACATTAAAAAAAATCATAATGAAGTAAAAGTAATATGTGGTTGTCCTTTCGCCTTAAATATGAATCTAACAACAGTTTGTCACTTCTTTGTTTATTTGTTAGTAGTATGCTAGCAGTTTTACATAATCCTTCATCGTCGGTTATCCTTCAGCAAATTAGGTCAGATAACTGTATGTAACTGCAAAAAGTGCCGTAAGATTCAATGAGACGCCAGGTGATTGGATGAAAATGTGATGTTCACAAGTATGAAAATTATTTATGAAACTTACACAGCATTGCTTACTTAAGAAAATAAACTGTTTCATAACTATCTAAAATAGTTTTTCATTTGGATATTTTTGGCATTTAAAAAAAGTATTTTTCAGTTCTGTGATCAGCAGAAAATTTAAGTAAAAGGGGGGTAATCATCTTTTGGGACATTTTTGCAAAAAATTGAAAGGTCAACCCTATATAACAAGATCATTTTAATGTGTCAGGCATGTCATTCTCCTAGAAAAATCACAACATTAGCATGAATTCTCCATTTTAAACTAGATTTATGTGTAATTTCTGATAATGTAAGGCTACGAGAAACATATTAATTCAGTAGTCTGACTATTAGAGCGATACCAATCAAGGATATACCAGGCGATCAATCGGAACACGTACTCGACTACTATTCAACTCCGAAGACTGGCGGAAAGGTCCGAAAAGCTGCAAGGCCATGTGAAGAAATCCCCAGCTAGCCAGCTAAGTCAGGTCAGTATATAGTTTAAATAAGGAGAATTTTGATGTATATCAGACATTTAATCAGCTAATTTTTTGCATATACACGTGATTAGTTTATCTTTGCATATTTTTTTTGTAACTCACGTATACAAATGTACATTTACATTGCAAGCACGCTTCGCTACTTACCTGGTATTTTCCAATTAATCTATCCAGATAGCTTACATGTTATATATAAGACTCAGAGCTTCACATACTTTTTTCATACAATAAGTTCTCAACTTCTTTATTTTTTTCAGCAATTAGTTTTTCACTATCATATTTCAAATTTTATTAGTTTTTTTTTAATCTTTAATTAGTTTTTGATAGTTTTTTTCTCGGAAGGTCATATTTACTGCTACATGTATTTTATAAAGCATCAGATGAGCACATACACCATCGGCAATGAGATGTTAAGTTTTCCGTGACTGCAATAATTTTCCTGTAATTTTAAGTCCACTACGTTTCATACTAGAAACGATGCCATTGCTATTAACTTCAGCGCGATTTCCTCATTCGATTTCTCCGTTCTTTTTACAAAATTTAGCATAAAAAAGAAATGTGCTGTCTGTTTTTGTTGTTTTTGTTTTTTCATTTTCACATTTATTTTCGAAAGGGAAGTCACTCTAGCACATGACAAAACTGTGTGTAATTTAATCTTTTAGTTAGTATGCTATTGGTGCATAAATAAAAGCATCTAAACATTCAATTAGCCAATTAGATTTCGCGCACTGTGTGACGGCAATTTGTTTATCAGATGTAACAGGAATTTAATTAAATAAAAGTGTCATGATTTTTCGGATGTGACAGCTTCACGATTTTGTTAAAAGGTATTTCTGTTTAACCTTTTTCATGATAAGCTCAAAGTTATTGATTTATACGCTGACTTACGTGTTTATACCCCGGTCACATATTCACGGAATACGCCCACGGAAGAGTCACGGATTAATTCCGGCATCGTCCGTAGCTACCCGTACTGGTCAGTAGCTCTCCAGTAGTCCTTGTATATCCGTAGCGATCCTTGACAATTTTTGAACATGCACAAAAATTTGCGACGGAAAATTCAACCGTAGCGTATCCCTGCTAGTCCGTATTAAACCGAACTGATACGTACTGGTCCGTACAAAAACCGTACTAGTCCGTACTGATTCGTAGTCCACCAACTTGTCACGGATTTCCACGGTTTGGTACGGAGAACTACGTATTTGTACGGTTACCCTACGTATAAGCTACGGTTTTAATACGGATTAATACGGCATTGTCACGGATAGCCACGATCGTAATACGTTGTACTACGGAGAGACAGGGATTAGCACGGTCTTATACGGTTTATTGCGTTGCAACACGGAAAGGCACGGAATGGCACGGTCCACCACTGTTTAGTACGGATGAATTAAGTATAATGTACTTTTTCAAGGGTATAAGTTAAAAACAGACATATTTGCGAGAACATTCAATAAATGATAATTGCAATTTACTGGCTGCAACTTTATTTTGAAATGGTTCAGAATGCGGAGGCAGTGGTTGAGCTGCTTGATGACATGCATAGTGGTCAAAATATATTAATATCGTTCTAGAATTCATAAGTAATAGAATATCATTTAATGTTACATATTTTACAAACATTGGATCGTGAAATTGGAGTAAATATGCACATAAAACGAAGTGTCTCATAAGCCTCGGACGCTGGCCCTTAAGTGATAATAAGATTAATTAACAAGCCTTTTACATATTTTAAAACATCAACATTCACGATAATTAATGTAATTGTAAAATGAACATCAAACGTTAAAATTAAAAGAGAAGCAGTATTGATCAACATTTTTCATAATCGATTACTAGTCTATATCTAATCACGTAAGAGAAGACAGACGAGATGGTGGACTAGAGATGGGATTTTACGAAAACCGCTTCATGGTTAGTATGAGGCTCTCATGTCCGAACTTGTTATTCAAGAAATTCACTTTTATCGGACCTGATGTGTCTCGGGGGTCGGACGCGATTAGGCCGAATCCTCTACGCCAAAATCATTGAAAATCGTTTCTATGTGTTCTTTTCTTGTGAGGCATTTTGAAAATGAGCATGCAAGAGGTTGTGGACGGATGAATTAGGTCCGTATAGATCAGTGGCAATTCGTTCTTCTCCGTATCAATTCGTTCTTCTCCGTATCAGACCGTACTTATTCGTACTAACCCGTGCTTATACCGTAGCAGACCGTAGTGTATCCGTAGTGCGCCCGTCCTGACTCGTGTCGCTCCGTATCAAACCGTGTCGGTCCGTAACAATCCGTGTCTCTCCGAGGGCTTTTGGTGGTAAATCCGTCGGAGTCCGTACTCATACCGTTGTGTGTCCGTACTGGAACCGTAGCGGACTACGGAATTTCACATTTCCGTAGTAATCCGTGAACGATTAGACCGTAGCTCTTCCGTGGCATTATCCGTGAATATGTGACCGGGGCATTAACGAGTTGATTAGCATTTTCGATATGACGTTGCTTTCAATTTGCCAAGAAGTAAACATATCTCAAGCAACGTCATATTTATAGAACACTAGCTGTGATAGGTTTTTAATTTTAGTCAAATTCCCACTCAAGCATAAAAAACTTCCACTAGCAAAGCATAGTTGCCAAAAAGTGTGACCTTTACACACACACAACTCACACAGACAAAATATTACGTAACATTCTTCACTTTTTTCAGTGAATAAAAACAGGCCTATATAAGAAGAATCAGGAAGATGAATAAAGAAGAATTTGGCAAATATCTTTCAAGGATGTATCAAGATGGTATGCTTATGTTGTCTGTTGGACTAGGGCATGACCTTGGATTATTTAAAGTCATTTGTGAAGCGTTAAAACCAATAAGTGTTGAAGAAGTAGCAAAGACATTAAATCTAAAAGAAAGGTTCGAAATAAAGAATACTTTTACTTATTATTTAACTTCATCGGAGTACTATGTAGAATACTTTATATAAAATTAAAAAAAAAAAAAAAAAAAAAAAAAAAAAAAAAAAAAAAAAAAAAAAAAAAAAAAAAAAAAAACAAACAAAAAACACTGATATGTTGGTATGTGCTTCCGCCTGTTTTGTGAATGATGGATTTATTTATGCATAGTGCTAGACTTTACAAGATCAGGTTGCATTTATTGTTACTTTCCATAAAGTATTAACATCTGAATCAAGGTTAGAATAGATATTAAATTCAAAACAATAACTTGATATTCAAATATGTTACATTTGTTTAATGGATTTGCATTTTTATCTTCTTTGTTTTTAATGTATTGGATTTAAGATCCCCCATACAGACGAAACATAAAACAGTAAATAGTACAATATATTATAAATACTAGTGGAACGTACGACGTATTTATCAAATCAATTAATAGTTGCATCTTTTCAGGTACACACAGGAATGGTTATCCACCATGGTTGCAGCTGGTATTATACTACAGGACAGAGATTCAAACCTGTACACAGTTCCTGAAGATTATAAGCAGACCATTATGTCAAAAATGGCTTTTGCACCAATTTTGTTTACACTTGGGAAAAGGTCCGATAAAGTGAAAGAATGCTTCAAAAAGGATGGTCCTTATGGTACATGTAACAATAGATCTGGGTTATATCTTTGATCTTTGATTTTATTTCTGAAAGTTATGTATATAGAAATATGCAAGTCCGATCTACAAATACGGGATTTATAAATGCATTGTTCAAAAACAATCTTGCTAAATCTCTTTTTTTTTGCTTTTTAAATACATGTACATGTATGTATACAAATTGAAAACAAATAATTAGAAATATATTTAAAAAGGAAATATCCATTTTACTCTTACATATATCTACGAGTGTATAACAAGGGTTAAGCTATTTGACCTACGTTTTTTTTTAATGTTTTAATTCATATTTCATAATAATGTTGTTAAGGGATATAGATTGCTTCCTAGGTTTTTAACTTTCCCTATCAAATGTCACATATTTGTTATTTTTGTTATTAAATGTAACTTGAAGATATTTGTTTCAGATGGTCGGACTTTATGACCCTCATAGAAAGTGGGACTTACGATTATTTGGTTGGTTCTTTCGTCTGTAATTTGCACGTCACTTTTCACTTGTTTGATCTAGAATTTGAAGTCATTGCCCATTGTTGGTAAATGACCAAATGACCAATATTGATGGTGAGGACATCAGGTCAAATGTTTGTTACCCTGGCCTTACTACTAAAAACATGTCCGACCAATAAATCTATAGAGCTGCTTTTGCCAACAGTTCTAAGGTTTGGACGGAGTTTATATCATCCCTTTTGTCTTTGGTATCACTTGGTCGTAGTTCAAGTTAAAAAAGGCCTTCACCACTAAAAGCTTATTTGAATCATTTATAAAGAACACTTTGGCCTATAATTCTAAACTTAGGTGCGGAAGTTTGTCTTGAAAAGTAAATGACCGCTGTTGATTTTAAGGTCTCTGTTTGAGATCACTTAAAGTTTGTTCGAGCTGTAATTACATAAAGCTTTGGCCTACAATCCTTAAGGTTGGCCAGGAGGATTGAAAATTCTTGTCTTACCAACTTTGCCTAAAATTAGACAATCCTATGCTCTTGCTCTTGAGTCTATAGATTTTATTGTCATTAGGTCAAACGCTAAGGTCACTATAACAATGTTCTTAATATCCTGAGAAGGAATAAATCTAACTTTATTAGATTTGTTCCAGATACTATGTGTCAAGTTGATTTTTTTATCATTATCTCGAAGGTCAAGGTTACAGTGACACACGTGTGAAATTCGTATCCGGTCAAGAACTTTTTCTGGTTGATTTCTTATTTTCCGTTTAGTTTTTTTCCCATTGCGTCCATCCACATTTCCATATCAGCTCTTACTTTACCACAAATTATTTGTTAACAAAGAACAATTTTAGCTCAACGTATGATTTGTTAATACAGGAACAATTTCACCTTGTGCAATGTATTTGTTAAGAAGAAACGATTTCAACTCAATGTACTTGTTCACAAATAACAGTTTCAACACTATGTATTTGTTATTAAAACACATGTTAATATTTGTGGTTGCATCTATCATGATTGAAATATGATACATGTATCAGAGTATGGATCTATCAATTAGTTCCAACATAAAATGAAATTAAATTTAACTTAACTTTTCAACTGATAGCAAGATCTGTTTTTTTCAGTATGCAGTATGAAACTTGATACAGCTGCATTGACAGTTTTTTTCGTATACAATGTTATAATGTTGGTATCAGTTTCGGCTGACGTGTATTGGATGCTCAACGAACAATATGCATATTTATATTGTATCATAGTTTGGGGACCTTTCTGTTGAAAATGGGTCAGAGTTAAATCGTATACATATACATGCACAGTGCGTAAACCGGAGTGCAAGCACAAATGTATTAGTAACTCGCACTCCAGAGCATGTCCATTAAGTGGCTCATTTTCTTTGCTGGAGTTTACTTTATGTGACGGCAGAGAAAGAGAAAGCGATAGAAATATTATATTCAGATGCTCATTCATTGGTTACTTTTTTGTGGGATTTCATATTGTGACAACAGGGAACGTGTTTTTATGTTTGCCTATGATACAAAAGAGAAAGAGCATCAAAACACTCGACAATCTAATCAATACCCGGTGGCAACGCCCCCTCATACAAATCAGATAGCCTCGTGGTTCGATGCTCTTTCTATTACTTGTACTTTTCTGTTGAAAATGTGCCCGAGTTAAATCGTATACTTACACATGCACATTACGTTAACTGGAGTGCAGTATTAGTTACCCGCACTCCAGAGCATGCCCATTAATTGGCTCATTTTTCTGGGGTTTACTTATTGTGACGACAGAGAAAGGGGTAGCAATAAAAATATCACATTCAGATGTTCGTTCATTGGTTACTTTTTTCTAAGGTTTCATATTGTGACAACAGGGAACGTGTTTTTATTTTTATACATGTATATGATACAAAAGAGAAAGAACACTAAAACACTCGGCAATCTTATTTATGCTCGTACAAATCAGATAGGCTTTCGATGCTCTTTCTATTACGTAAATAGTAGTTTTTTTTTGCCATGATAAAATGAATATAAATGGCTCCCGTGCTTGGACTGATAAATGGATTTTCACGAATCCTTATTTGTATATATTGAGAGTGACCTACTTCTAATGTATACAAAATATGCCAATGTAAGTCGATAATAGAAAAAATGATAGAAATAATGTGAAAACAGCTCTTGATGTATCTTCATTCAGCATGCAGGACCGCATCACCTAGAATTGCTACAACCTTTTGAAACAATATTATGTTGAGAAAAATGATAATCATTTGAAGGGAGATTCAGGCTATTATAATCCACTTGTGTTGTTTTGTGTAATTATAGTTTGTTTATATGTTTGCAGGTTTATGATTAGATTTTAATGTAAATTAACAATTTTTTCTCAGGAATAAGTTTCCGAGATGAGGAGGCTGCTGACTGTTTTGACTGGTTTGACGGATACAGGTCATTGGTGTGTGAAGGTGCAATAGACAAGGAAATTATACCATTGCTTACACAGCAAGGAGTTGTTCATAAACTTGGTATGACAAATATATAAATGATAGATACCTTATTTACTCATAAACTATCTGCTATTTATTATGGCATTGCGTATAAAGGCTATGTAAGCGTTTATAAATGATCAGCTATTGTAACTTCTGAAATGATGCACGAGTATTTTATTCATTTTGTTTCTGCATGTTATTAGGGAAGGCAATTATTTACAAAAATAATTATCATTGTATGCAGGTGATTAACTTAGTCAAAACATTTTTTTCTTAAAAATTATCTTTTTTTAAAGGCACATTATGATACAGTAATCCATATTATTTTAATTGTTTAAAAATGTTAAACATATGTTAAATAATGTTTTAAATAAATAATGTATTTATAGCATGTAAGACGTTTTACAACTGAAGAAAGTAGCGCTGAACAGAAAGTAACGTACCATTAAGGTAGCAAAATGCAAGCAAAGTACCGGTGGTGATTTGTCTTCCATGCAAAATACTAATTCACTATAATCATGCCAACTGCCAACAGAGCAAAACGAGCAAAAGATAGTTCATATGTGTGACAAATGTGTATTTGTTTGAAACTGTAACAAGATACCAATATTTTTGTTTAGAAATAAAAATGAGAGCTTTTCTCAGGCATAATAGGTCTTTAAGAATTGTTCTATGTTTTTACAGTGGTGTTAATAATACATTATATAAATATATGCTTTCAGAATCCGGCATCAAAGTGCTTGACGTTGGTTGTGGCTCTGGTAACTTTATAAATCTTCTAGCCGAAAGATTTCCAAAATCATCATTTACTGGGTTGGATTATTCGGAATTTGGAATAGAAAAGGCCAATAAAGTTAGAGTGGAGAAAGAATTATCTAATATATCATTCACAACAGGTGACGCACACAATCTACCAGATGAGTGGACTGAAAGTTTTGACTTTGTGTTTGTTTACGATGTCTTGCATGACTTGTCAGATCCCCATAAAGCTTTAGATCAAATTTACAAAGTATTGAAGAAAGATGGGTGTTTAAGTCTCAAAGACTTTGGTTTCCATAGCAACCCAGTCGACAATGCCGGTAACAAATGTGCAGCAATGCACTATACAGTCAGTTGTTTTATTTGTTTGCAGTCCAGTTTGTCAGCTCCTCCTCATATTGGTTATGGAACTTGTTGGGGAAGGGAAAATCTTGAAAAGGCTTTAATAGATGCCCAATTTAATATTAAAGAGAAATTATCAACTACTGTGTCGGGTTCAAAGGCCTGTTACCTTTGTACAAAATAGACCTACTTGGTAAACAATTTGTTAAATATATGTTGAATTTGTACAATAAACTTGATATAATTTCTTTGTGTGTATAAACATATGTATGTATGTATGTATACTGTGTATACTAGTTAATGGGTATATTGCACACATGTATTTTGTAATAAAATCTAAAATCTAAATGTATAGTTTTGTATTTCTTTTTATAGAATATTTATACCTATGTTACTATATATAGTAACGAAATTTGGGGTATTTCAATGCCTTTATGGTAAGATCTAGGTCATGCAATTTTGTCCGCCTTGCTACTCGACATTATTTTCTCATAATCTGCGAGTAAATGAGCGCACGTGCAAAATGACGTAATCAATTCTCATTGACTTTTAAGATGACTGCTGTCGTTGAATGAATTGAAGTCACTTGTACACAAAATTATAAGTTTTGCTGACATAATCAATCGCAATCAACAAAGCCTAACATTGAATATTTATAAACACAAGAAAAAAACCCAATAACTTAGTCAAGCCATAATGTGACCCCCAGAAATTCCTGAACTTACTTCATATTGACGGTCGATCCACTGCGAAGACATGAAGACAACATAATTTTTTAAACAATAGTAGTGGTAAAGAATTAAATATAGTTATGTATATGATATAAATTAAGATCAAGGGCAACATCTCCAGATAGATCTTGAGAAACTATTAGACTCTTTGTAACAAAGAAAGAACTAGAACCATGAACAAAACAGGAAAAAGATCAAAAATATTAAGAGCTAGATTTGTGACTTGACAAATTCAGAACCATTATTGAAAGCACATGTTCGCTAAAAGAACTGGACTTGTGTTATTCTCACAAATAGAAATAAGGAGCATTTATCAATATAAACAACAATAGAACCACATTTTCTTGACTTTATTTTGTGTTATCATATTTTCTAAGTTTAAACGGAAGGTTTTCTTGCCAGCTGGTTAAACTGAAAGACCGATATTTGTTTACATTGACAACTGAAAGGCGACGACGATGTCTTAACGCCGTGTTTCCGGTGGCTGCTGCCCGCCATTTGTCGATAACGGCCCTCGAATGAAGCCTGCAGCACTAAGGCCATTATGTACATTTTTGGGCCATTATCCTATAATGGTGAGCAGCAACCAAGAATTAACCTGTAAAAAAATTGGAAAATAACACTGTTATATAATATCAGGGCAGTAATGGTTATTACTTTTTTTAATTTTAGAATA